GCCCCCCCCCCCCCCCCCTGACCTGCCAGCAAACACGGCAGGTGCTTGTTAGGTGCGATTGAACGATTCAGCTCGAGCCCGTTTACGGTTCACCGTCCGGATAGGTGAGATTGATGAAGCTAGGCTTCACTACGGGGCTAAACGTCCTCTGACATGGATAGCCAAACCGGTCCATGCTCTGTCTCCATTTATGAATGGGAACCATAATCAGGGCAGATTTCTACGTTGAATATTCTCAGAGGTAGCCTCCTTACGTTCATCCTCATCCCCAATTTTCTGTTGGATCTGTGGTATTTAATTGGCACATATACATTCTGTCTAGTCAAATTCAGAGTTTGTCTTTATTTGTTATACGCAGCCGAATTTTTTCTTCAATGGGTAACATTTTTATTTTGGAAATAATATTAACAGGAGATATACAGGACAAAATCGTTTGAGCATTAATCGATACAAGATTTTTGCATCTTTATAGTCGAAACAACCACCATAAATGTCTGACTAAAGTCGTTTTATTCCTGCTTCCCTGCGTCCAAGTTTCAGTGACGTTCTCCAAAGTCTGAATGAAAAGCGGTGCCGTCCTAATGAATGGCATTCATGAATTATTGCGCGCGCGCGCAAACACCAGCTCAGCTCTGTACGTCTCACGTGAGCGAAGCAGAGCTGCTTCTAAAAATAGATCTCTCCGGTGGCCAACAGAAGGACTGTGAGGCGCGCGTCCCCGCATCTGGCGCCCATCGTCCTATTTATAGAGGGGAGAATTCACTTTCAATGATCGTGCACGCGCAGCTGGATCCGCGCAGCTGTTCACACACTCACACACACACAGACAAGCAAACCGGACACATTTATCACACCGTTCCTTTCTCTATGAGAGGAGACGGAAGTGGTTTGGTGTGATGATGACGACAATGACTGGGGAGAATAATCTGGCACATTTTCTCTTCCAGCCGAAGAACTCGGTTTAAAATTCACTGTTTCAAGGTGATGTGGGCTAAGGCTCAAGCGGAAATATGTAGGGGGGGGATTAGGCCCAGTTGAAGCAGTTTGATTTCAGGAAGGGGGCTCCTTTAAGTTTTACTCGTCAACAAATCGGCTTAGCCCTGCATAACGTCCAACATCTGGAAAATGTTTCCTAACTTTTTCAGTTTTATTTTCCGCCCTATGATTAATGAGGATGATCGAAGAGTCAACAGGATAAGACCCATTTAACAACACTGATTACTGTGTTCCAGTTTACTTTCTGTGACATTAGCCAATATTCAGAGGATATCTAAATGATGAAGCACCCTACTTCTGGTTAGGGGCATTCAGTCTAACACATTTGGTTCCTGTGTGTTAGTTTTAGTATTTTTTTTTTTGTCTGCTTTTTGCTTTTTGTCTGGTATGACTCAGCCACCTCTGCTTCATCTTCCTCCATCACTGGCTCCAGATTGGTAATGACCTAAAGGTACCAAAGTGGCACCAGATAATCAGAGACAAATTACCAGCGTGCACCTGCAGGGAGTGGTAAATGGACTGTTTCCTCTCAAAACGGCTCCAAGTTCTTACATGCTCTCTGTCCGGTTTTAATTTTCTTTTCCCTGTAGGTGCCCGGAGCCGTTCAAATGAGAGATAAGAGTTTGTCATCTCTGCAGCACGTCCACGGATGAGTGGCGCCCCTACAGCAGAGAAAAATACATTACACAGCCCTCTGATGCTAAACTAAGGACTGTAATGTGTCAAGACAGTGGCATTGGTTTTCCTTTTGGCAGTTCTCCATGCAGCACCACACTTAGCCTTTAATGCAGTTCACTCACAGAAGACATCATTGTAGAGACTCACTGGTCACTCACTTCCTTTTTGTCTGACTGAGGATAAAAGGATTATGGCTGAGTCATAGTCTTTTTGGCAGGTGCATCTGATAACCTTTTGCTTAGTTTGATGTCCTAAAGATCACGGAGCTGGTTTTCCTCTCTCTGGATCTGACTACAGAACAGCAGCTCATAAACCTAAAACCAGTGATGTCCTCATAAAAGGCGCATTGTTTTTTACGTCCTGGCCCATGTCTGCTGCTGCGGGATGACTCATTTTTGGTAATTATTCACAAAATACGACAAGAAAAATGGAAGTTTGTCTATCAGTTGGGATGACCATACGATTTGGAAGTGTTGGGGGATCAACACCAGATCAGCGATCACATGAATCTGTTCATCCAAACGGGCTTTTGTTCACATTCACAATTGTTGACATTTTGCCTCCATTCAGTCTGAGTTAAAGCACTTTGCTCTTCTATAGTTTATTCAGTGTTCATGTTTTGTTGGTTTGCTGCTGTTTGCTAGTTGTGATGTTGACTTATCTTGTGTAATTGTAGTTAAATTGCTTTTGATGGCTGCATTTATTTACAAGCATGACGTTTTTATTCTTTTTAATTTTCATTATTGATTTTTGCATATTCATAAACTTTATCATTAATTTGCCCACAATTTTCTGACAAGGCAAACAGCAGAAGTGATTGACAGAAAGATCCCTTAAGTATTCAGAGCATTTACATTTGCTGATGAGCTCTGGTGTGTCCTGATTCTGTCCTTCAGATGGTCCCAAAGCTTGACAAGAGTCTGCTAAACACTATCAAACCTGTCTTTGCCAGTGATGATGTGTGTTAGGGAGAAAAGCCTCTGATATGAGTAAAGGGAATACAAAAATGTGGTTCCAAACACATGATAACTTTAATAATTAATCAGCTAGTAGATCTGACTGCACCCAAGTTACCAGGTCAGAAATTTAACCAACAAACACATAATTAGTATAAATTGCATCCTTAATTACTTGGTTTAGTTGAAAAATGTCTCATAAAAAGACAATCAAACTATCCACCAATCAGCTTTTCAACATAGAGCATTACAGTGGCATCTGTGATGCTATTAGCAGCTAAATAGGGTCTTTGGTCACCCACTGTCTCACCATCAAACAGAGATACCAAGAATTTATCATTTAATGACATTTAATCCATTTTGTTTAATTTCACTATCACATAACCATCAAGTTGATCGTAAGCTGAAGTCAGACAAGTGGGCCCGTTCTTTTACCTGATTCGTGACCAAATATGAACTGTTTTCTCCAACATTTCATGTTCCCGTAGACCGTCCAATTAAAAACAGCTCTGCAAGACCTTCTTTGAGCCAAAGAGGTGCTCATCATCATGCAGGAGCTCACAAAACAGAAACACTCCAAGTTGTTTGTCTTTAGCCTCCCCGCGGTCTCGCTGGTACTTAAGCCGTCCCCGTGTCCCACACACTCTGTTGTCTCAAGCCCTGCCGTTGTTGTGGTTGTCATAAGGATCCCGATATTATTAGAAGCAGTTGTGCTGGTATCACAGAGAAGAGTATTACAGTGAAGAGGCAGGTGGATGAGGAGCGGGATAGTGGGGATGAGTGCCTCATCGCCTTGGCAGCAAATGGACTCAAATGAATCCAATTAGATGGTCGTCTTTGTTTCGCAAACTCCCATTTGTTTCAGAATTCATGTTGAGGCTCATTTGGTCTTATAAGCATCATAAGCTAAATGAGTTCTCCACTCCTCCCAAGATTTCAGAAATCATTTAACCTATGTTTTTATGTTTTTACCCTTTTTTTGGTCCGCCATCCTCTCATTTAGTCTCAAATTATTTACAAACTCACATGTTTCTTGGGTCACACAGAAGCAGAGCTGGTCATTTTCAACTTGTACAGCTTGTTTTGACAGAAACACATTACATGGCCGTCTGTCTGGGTCCTCTTCTTTTGTCAGGTTGTCATCGAGTGCATCCAAATCACTCGGTTACTTTTTTTTTCATCAATTTTACAGTCTTTTTTTTTATCGAGTGCAACTACCAATTTAGCAACCATGTTCAGACATTAGTGAAATGGGAAGAAAACTTTCTAAGTGGGTTCAAAATATATTCAAAAGGGCAAAGTGCAAGCAAAGAACAATGTAATAATTGTGGGATGAATAATATGTTAATGATAGAAGGAGAACAGGTAGTCATGGAAAATATTGGTCTCCTTATTGGTAAGACGGGGCCGAAGGATCTAATAGCTTGTTTTGAAACATAGTGGGCAGCATATTCATTGGGAGGGGTTCAACTCAAAACATCATA